CGCCTCCCCCGCGCCCCGGCGGCCGGGCCAGGCGCCCCGGCGCCAGTTCAGCGTGGAGAAGCTGCCCGAGGCCTTCAGCCCGCAGACCCCCGGCCTTTATGGCAACGCCAGCCGTGGACCCAGGCACTTGAGCACCAACAGCAAAGCCGAGGTCACCGTGTGAGGACAGGGCCGCTGGTTCTCCAGAGACATTGCATTGCGGGAAGCCCTGTTTCCCCCTGGGGTTTGCCAGCGATTGGTGTGGGGGCCCAGGCCACCGAAAGGAGGGGTGCCGTGGGAGGCCAGCCCTTCTGCCTGCCCAAACTGGACTGGGAGCCAGCAGGGCTAAGAAGAGGCCTACCCGGTAAGGCCTGCGGTTCTGTCCTGGGGGCTCTAGGGCCCGGTTTCCTTGCGTAAATAAACCCTTATCCGTGGCTCCCATCCCTGAGAATAAAGGAGCCCCAGCGTGGCTCTGAAAGGCGCTGATGAAAGGAGGCTTTGGTCATTGACTAGACAGACGGCAGTACCAGCAGAGGGCACAGCGTGTGCAAGAGCAGAGGACTGCTCCCGAAAGCTGGCGGGCAAGTGTTCTGGGAGCCAGGGAGAAGCGGCTGGAGAGGGTGGTCAGGGCTGAATGCCAGGCTTAATGTCCACACCAGTAGGAGCCATGGGAGAGAGGGCAGTTAGGCCCCAGCCATCTTGAGGCTAATTAAGTACAGGAGGGCTGCTGGGTCCCTGAGGGTCCATGTCCCTTACCAGTGCTGAGCCCCTCTAGCCGGTCACCCACTCTCCAGCTTGAGGTGGCTGAGCCTGTCTGATCCTGACACTGTCTGGCCCTGGGCCGGCCCCTGGCCTGCAGGCCACTTGGCTAGCTTGGCCCAGGGCCACCCTCCTGATGGATGTGGGCAGTGGGCCGGATGGACAGCTGGTGCTCGGGATGGGGGAGCCTCCTCCCAGTAGCTACTCTAGGGGAAATGAGTATAGGGATGCTGGACCCAGAGCCTTGGCAGTGCCCCCATTGGGGTGCTCACCCCACAAATGCTTGGCATTGCCAGCTCTCCTTTCTGCCAGGCAGGCTCCTAGCACCTGGCTGTGGCCCAGGGCATTGCCAACAGCCTACGTGCCTCAAGTTTCTCTGCACCAGACACTGATGGGGAGGTCGAGGGCTGGGTTATGCCCTCATCGTGTGACCTCAACAAAGCCACCCAGTTGGGCCTATTTCCCTCCTGTGAAACCTAGGCACGGTATGTATACTGTTTTAATAACAGTGGCCACCATTTGCTGCTATTTCTTCCACTTAATCCTCACTGAAGTCCCATGGGTGTGTGGCTTTACAGATGAGAAAACTGAGGTCTTGAGCCCTAAGTATCTTGCCAAGGTCACCCAGCTGACTCCAATTTAGGACTCTTCCGTATTCCACTGCCACAGTGAATCTGGTGGTGAAATGGCAGCCACGGGCAGTCTCGGGGAGGAGGGAAGGTTATGAACATGTCTGTTGGCAGGGAGGGGCCCCTGCTTCCCAGGGCACAGGCAGTCTGACTGCCCTCCTGCTGGGTGGGCTGCCCTGAGGGCCCCCAAACCCACCAGCTCTTCACTGGTATGAGGGTCCACCTTGCTGTTTCTTATGGCTATTGAGGAAACCAAGGCCCAGAAACCCCAGGACAGAACATAGCCCAGAGCTCACGGCCATGCCTGCAGTGAGGACCCCCATGGCTTCCAGTGGAGAAGGCCCTCACACCTTCAACCCAGGATGGGGGTGGGTGCCCCTGGGACTATCCTGCAGCTGTACAGAGCTGGGGGAGGAGGGTGGGTGCTGAGTCATGGATCCTGCAGAGACTCACAAAAGGATTGGGTTCCTGGGCACACATCAGCCACCCACAGCCACCCACCCCGGTGACAGAGGCCCTGGGTGGGCTGTGCTGGGAGGTAGACGTGGCCTCTTTGCTCATTCTGAGTCCCAGGGGCCCTGGATCTCCATCCCAGGGGGCCAGGCTGAGGCCACAGGTATGGCCTCCACTGGGAATGCTGCTGTAATAAGTGGACAGGGACCAGCTACAGCTGCAACCCCCACCTCCCCCCGGGCTGCTCCGGCCTTGGGACAGTGTAGCCTGCTGTGAATGCCCTTCAGAGAAGGGAGTGGTGGCTCAGAGAGCTGAGGGTACTTGGCCCATTTCTCAGCCCCGCCAGATCACGGACCACATGCACTTCAGCCGCCAGGCTCATCCCTATGTGGCACTCCTGACCCCACCTCCCCACAGGGTCCAGCATTCTCCCATCCCAGCACTCCTGGTGGTCTGGTTCCTCACTAGCCTCACAAGGCCCTCACCATAAACTGGCATTTTATGCATGTTGTATCATTCAAACTGGCCAACAGGCCTACAGGGACTTGGTCAAAGGCAGGGGCTGTCAGCCCCATTCTGCACACAAGGAAGTGGAGGCTGAGGGGCTGCCCTCTCCCTATCCCCTACGGGGCCCAGCTGGGAAGTACAGGAGCTGGACTTGGATGTGACTTGCAGGCCACATTCTCAGTTTCAATGCCTCCAGGGAGATGGGGAAACCAAGGTGTGGCCCTCCCAGTAGGGGAGAGGTCTCTCTCTAAAGGGTGAACACAGAAGGGCTTAGCATCCCAAACCCCAAAGAACTGCTGCTGTCTGCTCAGCAGTCAGCTCTGTGTCCTGCCTACAGTGACCTCTGACCCCAGCAACACCACCAGCACCCGCTTCATCCTAGGCCCACCCCAGCCCTGGAGTGTTAGCCAAACAGCCGGCATTGGAAGGAAGGAACCAGGTGTGTGGGCAGGCAAGGAGGGTCCAGCGGAGTGAAGCCTCCCAGGGGCCTCTCAGCAGAGGGAGGAGCTGTCCTCAGTCCCTGACCCCCTGGAGGCCAAGGCATGCAGCCACCTGGCTAGTCACCACAGCGGTCACGCCACAGACCCGCACACACCTCACGCTGGGTGGTACCAATCTGTGTTTATTGAATAACCTACATCCAGGACAGTGAATGATTCCACATCAAGGAAGCCACAGGTGTATCCCCCTTTTTAGTGAGAAAAACAAAACAAAACCCTCCCACCCCTAAACAATAAGGAGAAAAGGCACAGTATGTACACATGACACAAAGGCTGGCTCGCCCAGCGGGCAAGGGCCATAAATGACAGTTGTGGGGGGAGGGCCAAGCCAACTGTTCCAGCTTGCACTTGGCATCAGGGGAGCCCCTGTTGTGTGGACCCCCAGTCTGTGCTGGGGCCCTGGCCCACTTCCTATCCCAAGCAGCCTGAGGGGCTGAGAAGCACAGGGAGGGAGGGAAGACAGCCCCTCTTAGCCTCTCAGCAGGCTCCGGGGCTCAGGCAGTCCTCATGCCCCAGGAGAAATGGCCTTGGGGAGGCACCAAGCCAGGGGACCCAGAAAAGTGGGACACTTTGCTTCCCAGGACCCTCTTCTAGGCCGGGGGCTTCATTCCTAGTGCCAAACTTGGGCAATATTGTGCCCACCACCAAAAGGGACTTGTCCTTGGGGAGGGGTTGGGGGCTGGTCCCTGCCACCCTGGCTTATTTTCAGGTCAAGAATTATGGGTAAAAACGGACTATGGAGGTAGGAGTTGGGGTGGGAGGGGGTTGAGGACCCATACTGAAGGCCCCTGGTCCCCAGTCCCAATGCGTGGGTTCATCTCTCTCAGCCCCCTGGGCCTACCCCGAGCTTGGGCTGACATCCCAGGGGGCGGGGGAGTGGGAAGAACAGGACAATTAAATAAGATACCGTTTATTTTTTAAAAAATTAAAAAATAATGCCGACATTATTTCATCTATCCCCAGGCCTGCCCCCTGCCACCCACCCGCCTCCCCAGGGCTGGGCTCCCTCCTTCCCTGACTGTCCTGTGTAATAAAGAGAAAACAATGAACTGGCTTTGTCAGGCACAGGGAGGGGGACAGAGACTCGCGGAGAGAAATAAAGATGCCACAGCAGCTTAGCCCTGCACCACGGCAACCCCAAGCACACTGATATAAAAACATTCGTATAAAAAGGGGAGCATGCTGGGCACAGTGCCAAGAGCGAAGCACTCCGGTGCCCAGAGACCTATGTCCCCCAGAGGGAAAGCCTGATAAAAAACAAGGAAGCAGGAAAGGGGGGAGAGGAGTTCAGAGGAGAGAGCATCTTGGGAGGGCTGGAGGTGGGGCTGAGCAGCTTGGGAGCTCCCCCTGCTTCTTTAAGTCAGGGCACCCCCAATTCTTGCCCTGCCCTGTCTTTCCTCAGGCCCACTGGGCCCTGAATGTGGGCATCTGCCCACAGCAGCTTTAAGAGGCTCTTTCCAGGGGCCCACTAGCCTGAGGTGGTCCAAAAACCTCGGCAGGCGACAGCTCAGAAGACAAGGCTCATCTCATAGCTCCCAGAGGGAGGAGGGAGAGAGACCGAGAGACAGAGGGAGGAGGGAGAGACACAGAGAGGCAGAGGGAGGTGGCGGGCCTGGGTGGTCAGGAGGCGGCGATGGCAGTGCCACCGCCCAGCTTGACAATCATCTGCTGGCAGTCGTTGCACGAACGTCGGTCGCCCACCTTCTCCAGCGTGCGGGCGGCCTCGGCCAGCAGCACTGCCCGCTGGCCCGGGGAGGAGAGGAAGGAGAGGGGAAGGTGGCGGCAGGCCAGCAGGATGGCGGTGGCCCGCTCTCGCTGGCCGGGCCAGGCGTCCACCTCTCCTGTGGGAGCAAAGAGACATATGTAGGAACTACTCGCTGAGCGCTCGCGATGATGCAGGCGCTGTTCCCAGGCTCGGTGGGAACTTACTTAATCCTCATACCCACTTGAGGGAGGTTCTGGTGCTCTCCCTGTTCACAGCCGAGCCGCTTTGGACCTGGCGGGCACCACACGGCTATTGCTCTGTGGTGGGGCTGAGACGCAATCCATGCAGTGGGGCTCCGGGGCCCCTGGTTCCTTCAGACTCCAGCACTGCGACATCCCCACCCTCCCCTCCCCACTCTGAGGTGGGACCCACCACAACCCAAGCAACACCACCCCCGCCCCACAGCACCTTCATGCCCCCCCCCCGCCCCCAGCAACCCACCAAATCAAGCCTAGGTTGCTTTCATTCTCACACCACTTCTGAGAACACTGCAGATGTCAAATAAGTGCTGGGCTGGGCTTCTCCCCTCCTTTCCTCCTCCTCTGACCCCTCCCCAGGCAGGGCCCACCCAGGCCTCCAAGCAGGGTGCCGCAGCTGGGTGCTGGCGGGCTCACCGTGCTTGGTGTTCGGAGCCGTGCGCCTTCGCAGGCTGTGCTCCAGCAGCTGGTGGGTGCGGGTGGGGCTGGCTCCTGCCATCAGGCGCACAGTGGCTTCATGCAGGAACACCTGGGGGGACACATGATTGAGCCCTGGGTCCTGACCCATCTGTGCCCATCGGTACCTCTCCCTGTAGCATCTCGTGTGCTACCCAACGACACCCTTTCTCCTCCCACCACACCTACTTGCCCTAAAAGCAACCTCTGTTGTCCTCACTCTGAACCCCGACACAAGCCGGGCACGAATGGGGAACACAGCACAGGCCAGCTGGTGGGGCAGGAGGGAGACAGCAAGCTGAGAAAGAGGCTAAGGGCTGCTTCCTCTGCGGGTGACCGACGCGCCCTCTGGGGTTAGAAGACAAGTAGCCTGGGTGTGAAAATAGGACAGAGGTGATGCGGGGACAGGAGAGGACAGCTGGGCTGGCACAACGGAGGTGCAGGGTCCTATTTCCTTCTGTTTCTTCAGAAAGGAAGAGTCCAGGTTCCCAGGTGAAAGTCTACAGCTCTGCTGTACATGAGTCACTGGGGATGGGAGGGCCAGGCTGAGGTCTCTAATTTCTTAAAATCTCAAGGTTCCTTTATATCATAACATCTCAGTGTGTGAGGAGGGTCTTGAGTGCCACCCTGGAAGGCAACAGGGGAGGCAGTGAAGGGGTAGCAGCAGGGGAGAGGCAGACGGAAATGTTTCCGGAGGAGGCTGCGTCCGCAGCAGACTAGCGGGCCCGAGCCTGGGGCCTGCTTCCTCTTTCCCCTGGTAAGCAAGCGGTGGTTCTCACGTGATTCTATTTTGTCCGCTGGGTCTGTCCCGGCTTGTTGCACACACAGGCCACAGTGTAACCCTGTAGGGGTCCCACAGCACCCTAGGGTGGGGGCAGCCTCACCCGAGTTCTCCTGTTTTGCACCCTTCCAAACATGGCCCTTCGCTCCTAACACTTCTAGCCTTCTCACTTGAATTTTTGGAAAATAATTTGGTGGAAATATGTTGAGTATATACTCTAATTAGCAATAAAAATAAAACAAACAATGAAATGATTTGAGTCCAGTCAGCCCAGTTATTCACCTGCCCTCAGAGCCTCAGCTCAGATCCTGTGGCCACCGCTGGGGGTGTCCCGTGGAGAGTCATGCAGCACAACCACAAGCCCACAGTGGCTCAGAAAGAGAACTAAATGCAGTTCTAGGGAGTCGCTCTGAGGCCAATTGTGAAAGCCAGAGGAGAGCTCCTGCGTGTGTTCCTGCCCCTCTCCACCCCGGGCCAGGAGCACCCCCGTTCCTGTGTGACTGGTGAGGCGCAACCGTGCTGGCCTCTGTGTGGCCTGCTCAGCACCCGCTCCAGGGCCAGGCACACAGCAAGTACTTAACCAGCATGAGCCAAACAAAGGGATCTGAGGCACCAGGCCCAGTGCTTGACAGGTTAGTTGACCTCAGAGGGCCGACTCCACGACCCCATGTGGGTGCCCTGCCGGGTTCTGGGGCCCCGATCTGCCTCACCTTGCGGTAGGCTGGGCGGAAGCTGTGGGCCAGCCTGCGCAGGCTGCCCAGGTCCCGCTGGAAGCCGGCCAGCTCAGCACCTGATGCGTGGTAGGTCTCGCCCAGGGCCTGGCTGGCCCCTGCCTGCTTTTGCCAGAGTGCTGTCCGCAGCGACAGCAGCAGGTCACAGGTCAGCAGCTGGACCACCTGTGGGGTGAGCCACGAGGGAGGAGGCAGGTGACCAACTGATCACTGGGGCAGGGATCCCAGCCTTACCAGGCCCTCCCCGGCTCGACACCTGGCAGTCCTGGGAGGAAAGGGGGGAGCCCCAAGCGGCATGGCCTGGAAAGCACCCCACAGGAAGCAAAAGAACAGCTGAAAAGCAAACTCCAGCTCATGGCCTCTAGTCCCTTCCACAGCCCCAGGCGGGAGATCTGTTCTCCCATTTGGTGGGCGAGGAAGCCCAGGCTCAGAGAGGGGCAGCAGCTCATGTAGGGGACACAAGTGGCAGGAATAAAACCCTCATGGGTCTGACAGGAAGGTGCAGGTTCCTCCCACCTCACGGGAGACCCCCAGGGCTGCCCTGGGGCTGAGATGCTCAAAAGGTGCCATGGCCCTGTCCTTCCAGTGGAACCGAAAAGCCTGAGGTAGCAGCATAGCCCAGAGATGGAGGAGTGGGGAGGGAGGCTGGCCTTAACAGAGGGCAGCTGAGGCCCGGCCCAAGTGGCCCCTGGGGTGGGGGAGACAGGAGCCCAAGGCAGAGCTGCTGAATGCTTGGGTTTAGAACCATTGCCCTGCATCTGCCGCAGTTTTCCCATCGACTGGCTACACAACCCTGACACAGGACCAAATCCCTCTGAGCCTGTTTCCTCAACCACAGAATGGGCACCACCGGGCTGCTGTGCGTGTCACACGAGAGTGCTGGGTGCAGGCACCATGCCCGGCCTCAGAAGCACTGGCCTCAGTCCACACTGGCGCCACGAGGCACGGATGCGGCTCGGTACCCACGGGGCTGCGCTGCTGGCCTGGCTCCCAAGGGTCCCCAGCACCAGGGAGCCAAGAGCGCGTGAAGTGCTTCTTGAGATGGGGCACATGATCTCCCCAGGCCATTCCTCTTCTTGCCCAGTCTGGCTTTCCCCTTCTCCAGGGTGCTGGGCCTGGGGAGGTCCCAGTGCTGCCCCAAACCCCACCCCAGACCTGCCCTGGAACTGCATGTTGCCCTGGCCCTGGGCCACGGTTTTTTAGCTGTTGACAGCTTCAGGGGGACATGGATGAGGATGAAGCCTCTCTCCTCAAATAAAGGTGGCACCT